ATATATAAGGAAAAACGAATAATGATACGTAATGATAGTATATCTCACATATTTCTACGATAATATAATAACTATCGTATCTAAAAAATACTTCTATAAATCGATGTTATTTATTTATTTATATATTTTTTTATTTATTTATTTCTTTGCATCGTTTTCTATACTTCGTTAGATTCCTATCGTTAGAAACCTTTTCTACTAACGACGATAGTTAACGCGACCTATTTTGGTGATAATATACTATCAACGAGAATTTACTGTTTCCATTTTTTTACTTTTCTTATTTTTCTTTCTTTGTTCCATATATAAAAATGATCTGTTAAAGAATTGCTAAGGCTGCTTAAAATGTGTGTCTCGGGAAAAGCAATCATATTTTTTCTTCTGTTTGAAGAATTTTGAAAAAGGAAACAAAATATTTCTTTTCTCTCTCTCTCTCTCACTCTTTCTCACTTATACACATTACATATATACACCCATACATACGCTATCTCTCTCTATCTCTCTCTCTTTCTCTCTCTCTCTCTCTTTTATTTTTTGTTCTTTTTTTTATCGCTAAAAATAAATTCTAGTAAAAAGTATATTAGTTTGTTTAATAAACCGACCATGCGAGAACGGAAAGACGTATAAGAAATATGTTGTATTAAAAGGAAAATCTGTGAAAGGATCGTAAGAGTAGCAAAAAGCTTTAACCATATATCCTTTGTACCGTGTTAACGTGTATGTGTATATGTTTTACGTTACAATTATTATCTTTTACATAATTATCAAGATTCCGGTATATCTTTGATCTATTTCGGATCTTATTTGTTGCTATCTCTCTCTCTCTCTTTCTTTCTTATATATATTGTCTTTCATTATTTTATTTTTTTTTTTCATCGGATATCGTTATTAACATAACATCAACTCGATCATACAATATCTTGGATCTTTTAATAAAGAAATAGGTGTTAGTTTCTAATTTATATTAGTTAGGTACATACAGACACACACACACACACACATATATATCATCTGAAATATTCCACAGTAATTTCTACTTTTATAATAAAACCAAAAAACAAAAGGTGTTCACAACGAAGTTCAGTAAATTCGTCTAACGATGGAAAAAGAATTTTAAGATTCGAGATTATTTTATCATAAAAAATTCAATATATATTATCTCAAGTAATATATATATATATATATATATCAATTATTAAATAATTATCCTTTGATAAAATTCGAAGTGTATCGGAGTAAAATATATAATCGAAAAATAAATTAATTTGCTAAGTATCGCGTAAAGGAAAGAAGAAAAAAAAATGTCCGATTGTTTCACGTATAATTGTAAACAAGAATTATTCCTTTTCTTTTTTTCTTTTTTCCACTCGCGACAAGTTTTATTCGTTAATCTTTTTCTTTTAACATTTTTTTGTGGATATAATATAAATTTCAAATAAAAAGAAAAAAAACACTATGGTTTGTTACATGGTAGATGGTAGACACACGTATATATATATATATA